ATATCGGCCGGGCGGTGGTGGCGCACGCCTTTAATCCCAGCACTCGGGAGGCAGAGACAGGCGGATCTCTGTGAGTTCGAGGCCAGCCTGGGCTATCAAGTGAGTCCCAGGAAAGGCGCAAAGCTACACAGAGAAACCCTGTCTCGAAAAACCAAAAAAAAAAAAAAAAAAAAAAAAAAAAAGAAAACAAAAGCCAATATCACCAAGACTCTTTAAGTCTTGGCTTTATCCTCTGGAAAGGCCCTTAGCTTCTTCCAGGTATAGCCTGTCATAGTCAGCTGAATTTCTACTACATATTTCTGTGGCCGGCAGCAGTGGGGATCTAAGTGGGGATCTAGTTTAGATCCCCAGAACCCACATACACCCACATACTGTAGTGTGTCTGTGATCCAGTACTTGCAGTAAGACAGGCAGAACCTCAGTGGCTAATTGGCTGCAGGCCTGCTGTGCGAGGCAGTAAACGAGACCCCTCAAACAAGGTGAAAAGTGAGGACTGGCAGCCAAGATTACCCTCTCACCTGCATGCCTGTGCTGTGGCGTGCCTGCACTCACACATGTAAGTACGCACAGAGGCAAACACACGCACGCGCGCGCGCGCGCGCGCGCACACACACACACACACACACACACACACAAATAAAATAAAACTGTAGTTAGAGTTTTCCTGCCTGGCCCACAGTCAGGACAAATCTCTCTCACCTGCCAGTCCCACAGACGCTCAGACCCGACCAAGTAAACACAGAGACTTATATTGCTTACAAACTGTATGGCCGTGGCAGGCTTCTTGCTAACTGTTCTTACAGCTTAAATTAATCCATTTCCATTAATCTATACCTTGCCACATGGCTCGTGGCTTACCGGTATCTTCACATTCTGTTTCTCATCGTGGCGGCTGGCAGCGTCTCTCTGACTCAGCCTTCCACTTCCCAGCTTTATTCTCCTCCTTGTCCCGCCTACACTTCCTGCCTAGCCAATGGCCAATCAGTGTTTTATTTATTAACTAATTAGCAACACATTTGCCATACAGAACATTCCACAGCACTTCCCCCTTTTTTTTTCCAAAAGGAAGGTTTTAACCTTAACAAAGTAAAATTACATACAATTTTGGAATTTGGGCATTGCTTCTCTTACTACTTTCTGCTGGAGGGGGGCGCTGTATCTTATGGGGAAACAAAGAAAATTTTAGGATCATGGAGTAGTCCGTGAGGCTGTATCATCTGAGGCAGTTGCCTTGAAAAGGTTCTGGATGTTGGATCATCTGGGCCATGGTGTCATCGGAGACCTTTCAGGTGGTCTTGGCTGGTCAAACCTGATGTGTCTTAATCTGGAACAAATCCATAGCCTCTGGCTTTCTGTGGAAACAAAAGCAGAGTCTCCTTTCCAAAGTAACATATCCTTATATCCAAATTTTGAAGTCAAGGTACCTTTAAAATATACATTTTGGCATAACTCAACAGCTTTTACAATCAAATGTTTTTCTGCAGTTAAAAGTCCCAAAGACAACACAATGCAGATTCTCTGTGTAATATCCATTTTTACGTGGCTTATTTTTTATACTACCTTTACTGTCTCTTTAAAGACTTTATTTTTTAAAACTATGTATTTGTTTCTATAACTCTATATATCATCTTTTTTGTCTCTTTCAAGCCTACGTATCTTTTACACACATTGTAAACTATTACATCTGAATCTGTCTTATTGTGAATCTATTGCCTTAAACTGCAGCAGCTGTGGCTGCTGGCTCGACCCACCTTAGCTTCCCAACATGGCTGTGGTACTTTACCACCAGCTCTGGGAGCTATCGTGGGTCTATGCTTTTATCCAAGCAGCGTGTAGTCCAGAAACCTCTTTTCTTGTTTTGTACTAGCAAAGGCTAAATCTACCACACAGCTTAATGTGCCACTTGCAAAGGCCTCATTCCCGCCATAGGCAGGTCGAGCACGCACGCTAGGAACCCACCAGTAGCTCAAACCAGCAGCTGCCGCTCATTTGAGAGAGACAATTAGGAACTGTTTTTAGCTCCGTTTTAGAATCTTTTCTCAGGTTTTAGGTGGAAACTCTTGCCACCACGTTGGACGCCATTTGTAGCTTAAGTTTTCCTGCCTGGCCCACAGTCAGGACAAATCTCTCTCACCTGCCAGTCCCACAGACGCTCAGACCCGACCAAGTAAACACAGAGACTTATATTGGTTACAAACTGTATGGCCATGGCAGACTTCTTGTTAACTGTTCTTATAGCTTAAATTAATCCATTTCTATTAATCTACACCTTGCCACATGGCTCGTGGCTTACCGGCATCTTCACATTCTGTTTCTCATCGTGGCGGCTGGCAGCGTCTCTCTGACTCAGCCTTCCACTTCCCAGCTTTATTCTCCTCCTTGTCCCGCCTACACTTCCTGCCTAGCCAATGGCCAATCAGTGTTTTATTTATTAACTAATTAGCAACACATTTGCCATACAGAACATTCCACAGCATAAAACTAAGAAAAAGAAATAAAAAGCATAGAGTTTTCAGGCCAGAGATTTCATTTAGTGAATCAGTTTAACAGTCACCAGTGAAGTCAGGTGCTGAATTCACCTACAGAACATGTGAAAAAATAAATGTATTTAAAAGAACTTTAGCTGGGCAGTGGTGGTGCACGCCTTTAATCCCAGCACTCGGGAGGCAGAGTCAGGCGGATCTCTGTGAGTTCGAGGCCAGCCTGGGCTACAGAGTGAGATCCAGGACAGGCTCCAAAGCTACACAGAGAAACCCTGTCTCAAAACCGCCCCCCCCCCACAAAAAAAAGAACTTTAAGGGAGAGTTTCACTCAGAAACTTTAAGTGCATTAGTAGAGCACTTGTCTAGAGGCCCTTTCAAAAAGAGAGAGAGAAGAGGGAGAATAGTGGAGTGGGAGGGGGAGAGGGAGAGGGGGAGGGAGGGAGGGAGGGAGGGAGGGGGCAAGACATTTGTTTTGGTTTTTTTTTTTTAGCTTTCAGAGCTTTATTAAGAGGGAAGTGGAGGGAGGGGAAAGGAGAGCCAGGTCTGCAGGAAAGCACTTGTGGAAGGCAGAGAGAGAAAGACGGTAGTGGTGGTGGGGAGCAGGGCAGAGAGAGGACGGGTCTGTGTCTGGCTTTTAAGGGCTCCCAGGGACATTTGTTTTGTAATGGATGGAACAATTTAAAAAAAAAAAAAAGCTAGGAAAGAAAACGAAAACCATTCGGCCAGGAAGCAGAGCGGGATTTTAGCCCCAGCACTTGAGGAAGAGTCGAGGGGTCTTTCGGTCTGGGGTTGGCCTGGTGTACATGGAAACTTCCAGACCGAACAGACATGGTGAGAGCCTGTCTCCAGTAAAACCAATCTGATGTTTATTACCTGAAGGTGGGAAGGGAGAAAACTAAGCATGCCTTTTACCTTGTAATGAACTTTCTGAACTGCTAGGTTGGTTAGGGCACTTGGACTGTTTGGATTTCATTAAATAGTAATGTACTATTTGGGCAGTGAAGGTGTAGGCTATTTTTTAAAAAAAGGCTTTTTTTTTTCTGGTGTGTGTGTGTGTGTGTGTGTGTGTGTGTGTGTGTGTGTGACTATGAACTGAACCCGGGGCCTCAGGCATGCTTGGCCAGCACTGTCCCACTGAGTACATCCCTAACTCTTCTCGTGAGAAAGTTTCACGGAGTACCCCGCTCACCTTAACCCCACTCTGAAGTCAAGGCAGGCTTTGAACTTGCGTGCCTCCTGCCTCAGCCTCTTAAGAAGCTGGAATGACAGGCCTGGGGCATTGGGGTTTGTTATCATTCATTCATTCGTTCATTCATTCATCCTGTCTGTATGGTAGGGGGGCTCATGTCACTGTATATGCCTGGAGGTCAGAGGACAACTGGCAGGAATTAGTTCTCTCTTTCTACCATGTGAGTTCCGAGGGATCAAATTTACGTCGTCTGGCTTGGTGGTAAGTGCCTTTACCCACTGAGCCATTGTTCTGGCCTTTTCTTGCATTTGTGAAAATACATCATTTCAACAGAGTTAAATATTTTAAATAATCTTTAAAACCTTTAGAACAGGAACTAATTCACTCTAAGAACATCTTACACAAAAAGATGACTATCAAACGATCTTTCAAAATATTTATTCCAAGTACAAATTCATACAAAGTGGAATACACAGGAAGACAGCTAAGATGATCAGGGGAGAGCCTTAGAGCACAGTCCTGGGGTTAACAGAATGATAAAATTCAAATTTTACATAAGATACTTTAATTAAAAATAGTGTCATTCCATGCAAATAACAAGACCATACTGGCCACCAAGTAAGAAAAATTAACCCATTACAACTTACACACACAGATCTTATCCACTTCTCAGAAGCATCTATTTTATCCCCTAAAAGGATTGTATCTGTAGCTGGGCGGTGGTGGCGCACGCCTTTAATCCCAGCACTCAGGAGGCAGAGCCAGGCGGATCTCCGTGAGCTCGAGGCCAGCCTGGGCTACAGAATGAGTACCACAACAGGCTCCAAAGCTACACAAAGAAACCCCGTCTCAAAAAAAAAAAAAAAAGTATCTTCTTGTTCTTTTTATTTGTTTGTTTGTTTTTTTCGAGACAGGGTTTCTTTGTGTAGCTTTGTGCCTTTCCTAGAACTCGCTTTGGAGACCCGGCTGGCCTGGAACTCACAGAGATCCGCCTGCCTCTGCCTCCTGAGTGCTGGGATTAAAGGTGTGCGCCACCACCACCTGGCTGTATCTTCTTGTTCTTATGTCAGTGTAAATTATTCAGTGTCTCAATTTTTTGTTTTTTTTTTTCACAAATAAAAATATTTTTTTCAGACAGCTACTGAGTAACCAAATGAACCCTTAAGATGGGAGTTAATATCTAATTATTTTTATGAAAGCAAGAATGGCTAGATAATGGGTCTCTGGGCAAGGGAGGGGTGGTGTGCTTATGAAGGAGTAACTTTCAGAGTGAGAGCTGAATGAGCTCTGACCACCTTCTTCTAGATAACAGCCTGTGTTGACACACATCTCTGTCAGGCAACCTTCCCCAAAGGTATGGATCACACACAGACAGACGGACAGACACACACACACACACACACACACACACACACACACACACACACACGCACATACACAGACACGCACATGCACGTGCACACACACCCAGACACACATGACCAGGAAAATAAAAAGTAAAAGTGAAGTCCCTGGCCTTTGCAGGTGCTGAGCGGAGTCCCAGCCTCTGAAGCTGTCCCTGGCAAGGCTGTCCCCAGGACAGGGACCAGCATGGGAGAGACTCACTTCATTCGCTGGAGTGCTCACTGCCCCCTGCACACAGCTGACCCGTACCCCGGAGCTACCCTTCCTCCGACAGGCTTGTCAGCCCTGCTCTGCCCTTTCCCCCGGGACCACGGCCCTGTCCTTCTGCCTCCCGGCTCTGAAGATGGCTGGGCTGGGCCTCCTCTTCTTCCTCCTCAGAGTCTGACTCAGATTCATCGTTGTAGAAATGAATGGTGGCTTGCACTGGGAAGCTGGCCAGCACTTTCTCCCCAGAACTCTGCAGGTATTCTTGACGCTTTGAAAGGGGTAAGTAAAGTCTAATATGAAAGAAACAAATAAACCATTAGTCAACCTAAGAAAGGACCCAAGCTCCTGACAGAAGCACTCAATACCCCATTTCTGCCTACTGTGTACATGGTGCTTTTCAAGTTACCAGAACACAGACCTGGACACCTGCCGAGGGACTAGCTAATAAACCTCACACTAGTCAACCTAGACCCACAGCAAAGACATTAACGTTGACTGGGCTCTAATCTTAAAAGGCTCACTCTCGTCAGGTGGATGACCTGAGCCCTCCTGGACAGGAAATGTCCTGTTCCCACGTGCACGCACATACACCGCGGAGGGCAGGAACGAAACCCCTGAGATTCTGGCCTGGAGGAGTGACTGACCGTTCCACGTGAAGAGGAGGAGGAGAGGGTGAGTCCCTCTCACAGAAAGAAAAGAGAGAGAAGGGAGGGGGAGGGGGAGAGGGAGAAGAGAGGGAAAGGTGAAGGGAAGAGGGAGAAGGAGGAAGGAGGGAGAGGGAGGGAGGAAGGAGGGGGAGGAAGGAGGGGAGGAAGGAGGGGAGGAGGAGGAGGAGGAAGGACAGAGGAGGAGGAGGGAGAACATGCCAGGGACGGAGAAGACAGGAGCAGGAGAGAGAAGGGAGAGAAAGAGGAAGGGAAAAGTTCAAATATATAAAAACTGGAGTCTCCAATTTCAAGTTTTAGCAGACTGGAGATTCCAGTTATTATGAAAAGTATTTTAAAATAGCCCCAATAATTTCTTAATGTTTTTCACTTATTAATTCATTTGCTCCCCGCCTCTCGCCCCCCCCCCCCCAGCCTCCATGGTCTTCTGAGGAAGCAGAGTTTGTCAATTGATTGCTGATTTTAGTTTGTGTCCCCTTTTCTGGTCAGAGGACAGGGAGAGAGAACACGCTGGTTATAGACTGTGTGGCGATGCTTAGCTTCCTAAGGTCCCCGTGGATCCCTGTTCCCCAGCTCCAGCCACCCTTGGCAACACCTGGAGACATTTTTGATTAATACAACTCAGGAGAAGCTCCTGGTGTTTCTGGGCAGGAGCTGGAGAGCTGCCAGGGACCCTGGGGTCAGTCCCCACAGCACAGTCCCGCCCAGCTTATACCCAGTATGGCAGGAGCCCTGCAGCAGACAGAGCATGTGCAAAATGCATCAACACATCTAAAACAGAGATACAAGCAAGGTGTAGGCCAGTGCGTGTGAAAGTTAGGTGATTATGTGGAAATATTTGCCAGTGAGTTCGAAGGGCAAATAGGATTTGTCATGTGGCCAGTCCCAGCTTGTAATGAAACATTAAATGCATGAACTCACAAACAGATTCCAGAAATATAACAGAATATCCTTGAAACTCCTTGGTAAGGAAACAAAATAATGCTAGACAATATGTTTAATTCTCCACTTTGCTGAAAATGCTAATGTGCGCCAGTGTCTAGGATCACATGCTTTTTACCATGAAGTAGTATATTACCTGACAGGGTGCTGGAACCCAAAGGCCCCCTTTGATCCTAGAGTCTGTTGGGTCCCACAAGGCTCACACTGTAAAGACAAACGTGTAGAAAGACAGATGTAGTCAAGGATCCACTGTGGTACCATCTTGAAGTTTTCAAGGTACGACTTAAGTAGTCTGTAATGATTGCTAGTAGTACTGACATTAGAGTTTATAAACATTTCAGTGTCACAGGTTCTGCTTCCTAGAATGTTTATCCATGGTGGTCCAGGGTTCAGACCTTAAACCCGTGTGTGTGGTATGGTGTATTTGTGTGCATGTGTGTGTGCAAGTATGTTTGTTGTGTGGAGACTAGAGGTCCATGTCGAATATTTTTTGTCCCTCTTCGACAAAGGGGTTTTGTTTGTTTTCCAGACAACGTTTGTGTGGCCATGGTTGTCTCTGTAGACCAGGCTGTCCTGGAACTCAGAGATCCTCCTGCCTCTGCCTCCTGACTGCTGGGATTAAAGGTGTGCACCACCACTGCCTGGCTTTCCAACAGTTTTTGAGGCAGTTTCTCACTGGACTTGGAGTTCACCTATTTAGCTAGACTTGTTTGACAGTAAGGTCCGGGATTCCCATCTCAGTCCTTGGTGCACCGCTACACCAGGCTTTGTACATGGGTCCTGGGGATTAGAACTCAGGTCCTCATGATTGCACAGCAATCACTTTACTGAGCCATCTCCCCAACTCCCAGGTCCTACATTTTATATAGGTATATAAACTATGTGTGTGTGTGTGTGTGTGTATGTGTGTAAATATATATACATACATGTATATACATGAGACATGAAGGCAGAAGGGAGGGGAGAGGAAGGGAGGACGCTAGTGGGAGGGGAGACCATAGGGAAGACGAAAGGAAGAGAATGTACATCTTACGTTTGGAAAAATTGTCATTATGAAACCTAGCACTATGTACAATGAGTATATGGCAATAATAATTAATAATGATGATGATAAGCTGGGTGGAGGTGGCTCACGCCTTTAATCCTAGCACTCAGGAGGCTGAGGCAGGAGGATCTCTGTGAGTTCGAGGCCAGCCTGGTCTACAGAGCAAGTTCCAGTACAGGCTCCAAAGCTACACAGAGAAACCCTGTCTTGGAAAACCAAAACAAACAAACAAAATGGCGATGATAAAGATGGGAAGGCATAGGGCCTTAGCCATATTGTCGTGGATGTCCCTGCCTACAAACCACTGTGGCCTCCTCCTTACTTAGAATGATAAGTCGTATCATCTCACGCTTTATACCACGTTACTTGCACACATGAGCCGTCTTTCCCCAGGCATGTGAATGTAGAGTCCTGGGACTTTCCTGGTAAAGTGAAGCATCGACCTGCTCTCTCTGAAGAAGGGCAGGAAAACAAGACACAGATAAGGGAGCCCAGGGTGAAAGGAATGAGTCCAGAGCTCTGCAGTACTAAGTGCTGAGTTTGGGCTTGCTCCTGAAGACTGCAAAAAGAGACAAACGTCACTAATGAATATAGTTGGGTTTGACTCTGAAGACCAACTCTTAAGACAGGGGTTCAATAATCCAGTCTCCGCAGTCTGTATCTTAAGGATGATGGCCGCTGGGAGCTGCACATGGACTAGACTGAAGTAAGGGTTGACAGGTACCAGTCCGGTAAGAGAGGATAAAAACAGAAGTGACAGCTGAGGGGAAGAGAGACAGGGTGACCACAAGCCCTTCAGCAGCATCCCATAAGCCTGTGGCCATTTGCAGGTAAGCAGCTGAGGAGAGAGAAACAGCCCTGAGCACCAGGTGACAAAGGACATGAGGACCAGAGAGAGCAGGGAGCTGAACTTGTCCGCGATAACTGCTGGTCGGGGTGAGCAGGAAGCTGAGGGGGTGGTCCTGAGTCATCCCATTCTGCCTAGACTCTGGACGCCATACCTGAACCGATTTGGCTTGAAGCAGAGTCAGGCTGTCCTAAGGGCTAGGGTTTCTGATAGCTCTGCAGAGGGGGTCATGGCGGTGAAACGGGCTGAGGGAGGCAAGAAAACCCAAGTTCTTTTGGATTCCATACAGTTTAGCGAGAACCAGATTAGGGACAGGACGAAGCCTGCCAACGAGGAGAAGATTTTGATACGGTTGCTCCCTATGCCATTCTGTCCTGTAGGTGACCTGAGTGCATGAGTGTGTATGTAGTGTGTGTGTGTGTGTGTGTGTGTGTGTGTAACAATCTGTGAGCAAACTGGCCTACAAGATGTCCCTGCAGACATTACAGTGTGTCAGCTCTGTTTCTTCTCCATGCTAACATCGTGAAGAGCTAAGTAGAGTTAAGCGAGATTCTTTGGAACACGATCCTTCACACGGATGCAGATTCTTCAAAACGACAGGGGACAACTTCTGGATTAAGCTGTTTGTAACTATAAACAGTCCCTAAACTGAGGCATTCACACTGCAAACAATCCTGTCCAGCTGAAGATGGCCATGGCGGGCAACAGTGCACACGCTGTGGTAGATGGCAGAGCACAGGGTTCATGTGACCAGAGAGGTTACTTCCTTCAAGCGTCCTGTCCTGACTAGACTGGGGGACGTGCAACACCTGTTCATGAGCTGTAGAACCCCACAGACATACATGCTCTTAACTTTTTACGCCTTGTTTTCTTTTTCCTTTTTGACTTTTTAAGACAGGGTCTCACCGTGTAACCCAGGCTGGCCTCAGTCTTTTCAGAGATCTTCTCACATGCTCGGATTACAAAGCATGAGCCAACCACACCTGGCTTTCAGAAAGATCTTAATAAAAGATCGGTTCTCATGGAGGGAAATATTGAAACACTCACACTTTGGCAATTAAATGGGACTAGGAAGGTAAACCAGCTAAGCACCGTGTTTAAGGCGTGTGCATCTTCTTAAGCTCAGAAGAACAGGCTGGATCAGAGAGTTTCAGCCATGGACCTCTGACTGTCAGGTTACGGTGGGAAGCCTGGATAGTAGACAGGCCTAGGTCCTGGCAGTGTGGACAAGCGTCCAGGAGGGAAATGCACCGAGGCCAAGAAACGTCAAGGCTAGGGGCTGTCATGCAGCGCAGTGAGAGAACGTATGTTTATCATCAGATATATCATTCCTCAGGTTCCTCAAGACCAAAAAAAATTTTTCTTAAGACTTGGCCCATTACTTTTTTTCCCAGTCCAGGGGAGGATACAGCTCTCTAGGGGCACCAAGTGGGTACAGGTGGCTCCTCCGATCAAAGAACAAGGCCTTGTATCAAATTTATATCTTATTATAATTTCGATCTGCTTATTGGGCTTCCTGGGACAGGTTATCAAGCCTCAGTACCTCTCATACTCCCCTATGAAACGGCATGGAGACTAGGGCTCAGGAATTGTCCTGTTTGGCCAAGAGGGGCTGTTACTAGCTAGAAGCTCTGCAACCCAGTCATAGGTACACTCACCCATCTTAGGAGAACCCGATTTACCGAGGCCTGCAGAGAGACAGGCTGTGACCCCAACAAAGAGCAAGTTTTCTCTTACCAGGGATCTTAGCTCCCAGTAAAGCTGGAACCTGGAGACAACACAAGACCCAGAGGTGGATCCCAGGTCCCGCCCTGACAAGGGTGTGGGAAGGCGGCCAGTTCTGCAACCCCAACAGAACACCAGGCTTCCCCCACCCACCCAAATCCTGGAGGTAGCTGCTTTGTGTGACATGCAGTCAACTAGAAAAGGCTGCGCTTTAACATTAGCATCACAAGGGGCTTTCTTGGCAGAACAGAAGCAAAAGCCACCACGTAGTACCTATAGATTCGCACACAACCGAACCACCCCGCAGTCATGTTCTACCTAGAGGGAAATTTAATAATTTGTGAACTTCACCTTTGAAATCCGACTTTTAAGAACTTGAGTCTTAAAGAATAGAAAGAATTTCTCCCATCATTTAGAAATCTGGAGCGATAATAATTAGGGCTAAATTATCACTTATTAGACTGATATTTTATTTGCTTCATCCTTAAATTAAAGCACCCAATAATCTAAAGAAAATAACTAATGCAAAAGAATGGCGGAGGGCCACGTTCCCACACCTGACTTTTCTTACACACATCTGTACATTACACTGTAGCCCACGGGCTTTAAGTAAATAAAATGCATGGTCCTCCCTCAGGCTACCGCCTTTGTTTTAAAAGTCAATTCATATTTGAAAATACAACAAGTGTAAGCAAGCCATCGCCTTAAGTTAAAAGCAATGAAGTGAAAACGCAAAGATAAAGGAATAGTTGTGGTAATTAATCTTTGCCTGCAAAGCCCTCTGCTTGAGTGTATTTGCACAGACATCAGCTCCGAAAGTCCTCCGAAAGGGCCAGACACTGGGTGGGGGCTTCTAGCTGCACCTTCTGGGCACTTGAGGTAGACGCCGGCCTTTCTTTGCACCGTGGCACCAACAGCCCCGCTAAGGGGGTTGGGGTTTGCCCTTCCCTTCTCCACCAACTGGTTTACAGAAGAAACAACCCCCCAACACACACACACACACACACACACACACACACACACACACACACACACACACACACACACACCACCTCTGTGTAATTACCATACAACAGCTAAGTCCGCTGTGGTTTCTTTTCAAGGATGGAGAAGCAGCAGGAGCTCCATGTGCCCATTAGCACCTCTGCTCGCTCAGGCTCGATATACCTGCTAGACCTCCAGGCACTTCTGGGTTAAAAGACCGATCGAAGTGGGGTGGAGGAGATCTTTCCTGTTTTGTTTTGCTTTTTGATCACCATACACATGGTGCCATTTTCTGGCTCGACTGTTACCTACAACAACCACAGTTTAGCTTACCGGACTTCCAGTTCTGGTCAGCTCGGCATCTGCAGGAAGCGGCATCCACGGTCTCCACAGAGCTGGAACGGAACTGGAAACAAGCACCAGGAGAGACTGAACCCCGGGCATCTCTGCTGCCCCTAAAAAAGTTACTATGAGAGTATAGCGTCTGCTTGACCAAGAGGCCCTGTACACACCATGTTCCTGTAAGGCCTGTCTGCCTGCGGGCCAGCCAGGGCCTTACTTACCTGTTCCTGTCTCCGGCTCAAGTCTCTGCCCTCTGCTCCCAAGTACACTTTGAGAAGGTGCGCCCTAAATCTAACACCATTCCTGGGGCACTTCTTAGTCGAGGTATTTTTCTCTCATTGATACTTCAAGATTTCCCGTTGGTTGCTTTCAACTACATCACCTCTGCCACTGAAGGCTCTTGATGCTACAACGTGTTATCAGGCCGAAGGACATTTGTCTTTCCATCACCAAGCAGTGCCCTCCTTCCTATCTATCTCCCCAGCTAATTTGATTTCCCTAAACTTCACAACTTTAAAGATAGCTTGGGTCCCAGGGATGGGCAAACACCGAGTACCACTACAGGGCAAAGAGACAACCACGTTGTGATAGAGTGCGGGATCCTTTGGCAAGTTTTGCACAGGGCCCCCCAGCTTCCCATGTTTCAGATCCTCAATACGCACAAGCGTCGGCCCATTTCCTTGCCCGGTGTCCCTGCACTTCAGACAGGAGTTTTGCGGTAGTCGGTCTCAGGCTAAGGAACTCAGTGTCTGGGTACACCTCCACCGGGGGCCGCCGGGACACCCTCACCTTTCGGGTCCACGCGGCAGCGGTGGCCTCCCGGGATCATCCCCGGGACAGTGGCAGAGGCGTCCCCGAGCCTCCGGGGCTCCGGCTGCCGCCTCGGGTCTCATGGTGCTGGCGGCACGCGAGTCCGGCAGCCCGACGGTCGGCGCCCAGTCCCGCTCGCCCGCCGAGCGCGCTCACCTACCCGCTCGCACCGCGCCAGGTTTAAAACCAGGGGCGGGGCGGGGAGGGGACTCGGGGAAACTGCGCAGCCCCACCGGGGAGGGGGAGGGCCGGGGACCGCGGGACGGGGACAGAGGAAGCGGAGGGTGGAGTGGAGAAGACTAGGAAGGCTCAAGGAAGAGAGCCTGCTCCGGACAGCGGGGAGGGGTGTGTGTCCAGAGTGGAGAAGGGACAAAAGAAAACCCGGAGGGGTCACGGGCGGAGCGGGAAGCTCAGGACCGGACAGACCGCAGACACGGCCCTCCAGGAGGGCGGGTGGCGGCTGTGCGCCCCGGAGGTGGTCCCCGCCGCCGAGCAGCTCGTGACTGCCCTCGGGGCTCCGATCCCGTCCGGGGTGATCCCACCTAGCCTGCCCCTCGGCCCCCTGCGCGCCCCTCCGGGTCCCCCGGGGTCTCCCTTTCCGCGCTGCGAGACGTCGCGGGTGTGGGGCAGAGTCCTCGTGACACCGAAGGTGCAGGCCAGCCCCACGAGTGAGGCTGCGACGCCTGGGTCCGAGGAAGCCAGAGGAGGGTGCTGGTGCAGCCTCCGCACCCACTGGGGGCTTAAGATGGGCAGTCGCCAGCCGAGACCCCTGGGCACCCCTTTTCCCGGTAGCCTGCTCCCCAGTGCCAGGTGACTGCCTGTGAGGACTAAGGCTTGCTCTGCATTATTTAAATTAAGTGATTGTTTTTTAAAAGCCGAAGAAGTCCGGGAATAAAATGTTTCCCGTATGGTTTCTTTAAAATTTGAGGAATATTTAACCCCAACTCAGGCAAACAGGAAAGAGGGAGAGATGACAAACTTTATACACTAGATCAAAACCCTGAATCCAATGGAGGACTCTTGGGGATCGCAAAAGATAAGAGAGCGCAGTAAGGTGTCAGGGATTTCTTTTTTTTAAGTTTGATACTGCGCATCTGTTAGCCCAGAAGTTAGACTTCAGTTAAGCACTAAAGGCATCTTTTGAAGAGAGGATGAAAATATATCTAATCATAGTCACTTACACAGCTAATAAAAATACACTCATGTTAAGCTGGGCAGTGGTAGTGCACACCTTTAATCCCAGCACTCAGGAGGCCGAGGCAAGTGGATCTCTGAGTTTGAGATCAAATAAACAATTCAAACAGGTCTTTATTTTCTATCCTCATACTGTGTATACAATCCAGGGCTTCTACAGAGTTCTGGACACTATGGGAAAATAGATACAAATTTTTTTAAATTTTATTTTAGATTTATTCATTTTGTTTTGTGTGTGTGTTTTGCCTGCATTTATGTCTGTGTACCACTCGAAGTTGTGAGCTGCCATGCGGGTGCTGGGAACTGAACCCAGGTCCTCTGGAAGAGCAAGTGCTCTTAACCACTGAACCACCTCTCTGTCCCCTAGATACAAGGTTTAAAAAGACTAGATGTGGTTTCTGAAGGGCTACTAAGGATTAATTGTTTTTACGTTTATTTATTTATCTATATGAGCAAGGCATGCATATGGAGGTCAGAGGACAGCTTGTGGGAGCCTGTCCTCTCTGCCCCCGTGGGGATTCTGGGACCAAACTTATGCTGTCAGGTTTGATGGCAAGCATCATATCCACGGAGTTATTTTGTTGGCCCAGGTAACTAAGGATTTTGAAGGATTTTTAAAATGTCTTCTAAATTTTCAACAATGAATATATTACTTTTTAACTGTGGCAAAATAGAATACAAATTTACCGTTCTAATCATTTTCTAATCTACACTTACATAGGTGATGCAAAGTTCATTCATCTGGCCTTTCAACACTGTTTCATCTCCAGAACCTTCCATCATCCTGTGCGGAAGCTGCATAACTTCAGGGCCTCTCCCCCACATTGGTACCCGTTCACCAGTTCCTGTATCTATAAATGTAGCCGCTGTGTTTCTTTGTGAAGCATGTACTAAGGCTGTCCTCCTCACCCCATGCCTGCAAATGAGGCTTCATCCTCATGACTCAGTGGTTGAGAGCCTGTAACTGACCTTCCAGAGCTCTTTCCAAATACTCTCATCGGGTGGTTCTCTGCAGGCTGTAACTCCAACTCCAGGGGATCTAATGCCCTCTTCTGCCTCCCTGGGCACCTGTACCCCCTGGCACATACCTGCCCTCTGGACACATGGGCAAGCATAATAGTTTAAAAAGTAGAAGAAACTGGCATTCGGAGAGATTAAATAAGCGATGCCAATCACTGGTTAGAGAGCCAGGATTGAACAGCACCGAGAATAAATGTCAAGGCAAAGGCTCCACCATGGCGCATGCGCACAGTGGCTTGTGTGGTCTTCAATCTTTTGTTGTCCTTTTTTTTTTTTTTTTTCTGGTTTTTTGAGGCAGGGTTTCTCTGTGTAGCTTTGCGCCTTTCCTGGATCTCGCTCTGTAGATCAGGCTGGCCTCGAACTCACAGAGATCCGCCTGCCTCTGCCTCCAGAGTGCTGGGATTAAAGGCATGTGCCACCACCATCCGGCTTTTGTTGTTGTTTTTTTACTTATGCTAAGAGCAATGTAAGATCTCCATGGTCAAAACTTGGTCAGTTTGAGTAACCTGAAGTTGGTTACAGTTTGAGTAACAGAATGTTTGTTTATAGTTCAAGGTATATAAATATATATCCACAAGTTCTTCCTTACATCAATATATGCTGAATAAATGAAACTTTGAAAATCTGTGAAAGACAGAGAAGACCCAGGAACAGACTAGGTCCAAGTGTCCAAGTGGTTTCTGCAGATGATGCCCTCTCAGGGCAGGCATCACTAGTCAAGCTCACCCTCTGTGTGCTGTAGGTGTTGTATTGACTACAGAGCAACTCTGTGGAGCCAGGTTTGCCTCAGCAAGCAGCATGCGGCTTTACCCACTGAGCTGCCACCGGCCGACTTCTTTTTCTTTAATTGTGACACACACACACACACACACACACACACACACACACACACACACACATAAATATAACCTGCTCAGTATTTATAAACGTTATCTGTTTGTATGTTTTCAGGGCTGACTGTTTTGGTATTGGATAACCAAATGCTGTGCTCTTCCCCAGGGAAGACTACTTCTGCCCCTCTTGGCCTTCTTTACTTTGCCTGTAGTTCTTTGTCTAGGGTGGAGGCCTCACCAGCTCCCTGCCCCCATTCATGCTAGCATGTCCATCGGTGTCATCGTGTTCAGGTCATGTTTAGACAGTCATGTTGGTGAGAGTTCATGGGCGTAGCTTCTGACATTTCTACGGGAAGCAATCTTAGAGCAAACTCCCTGTTCCTCCAATTCTTCCAGTCTGCTCCTTCTTTTGAAAATACCTCTGAGCCTTATGTGCAGGGTTTGGGTTGTAGATGTGTTCTCAGCTGGAGCTGGGCACAACTTGGTGTTTTGACTGATTGTGGATTCCATCCGTTGCAGAGAGAAGGTTCCTTGATGAGGGATTATTTTTATTTTACATGATGAATGTTCTCCCTCCACGTGTGACTGTGAACCACATGCATGACTGGCCCCACTGGGGCCAGAAGCGGGTGACAGGTTCCTGGAACTGGAGTTATAGTTGGTTGTGAGCCACCCTGTGGGCGCTGGGAACCTGGGTTCTTTGCAAGAGCGTCTGGTGCTCTTTACTTTTGAGCCATGATCTAGCACCTCTTTTCAATCTTTCTTGTTTTTTAGTTCATTCTACAGACACAGGGATTAAAATAAAGAACGTGGCTAGGATATAGCTTTGTGGTAGGTTGCTTAGCATTCAAGAGGCCCTAGGTGGACCCCGTGTTTGGATTCCCAGTCCTGTGGAATATCCAAATAAATTATAGCAAAAGAAACAATCTACAGTTAAAGTCATTGAGAATGTAAAGGCCTTTGTGTTACAGAGTATCTGAGTATAATAACTTCCCAAACTTTGAGTCCAAGGCAGATCTTCATGCATGAGGAAGCCATTGGGCAGAAAGTTCACTGGGCCCTGGCCATATAATCTAGGGGAATCTATCGACTTTCAAGGATGTCAATACTACCTCAGGCGATGAAGTAGGAAATAAATGGAGATTCTATTTCGTGCTCTCTTATCTTTAATTAAAAACTCTTGCTCAGATACTGATTTCCAGTGAGATCTTAGAGACAAAGAGTAAAGTTGTCCATCAGAGGGTTTCCGGCAGGTCTCTGAGGAGGATGCCAAAGTCAAAACATCCAAGAGGGTGGAGTATTTTTACATAAACAGTGTGGAAGACAAGCAGGGAAGCGATAATTTCCTTTTCTCCTGTTTGGTTCAGCCTCATTTCCTGTTACCTGCTCTTCAGAGCCTTGCACAGTTCTGGAAGCTGTTTTAGAAGCTGTGAGATGACATTATTACTTGTCATGTTGTTATTATTGTTATTATTATTATTATTATTATTATTATTTCTTTCACTGTTGAGAATCAAACTCAAGGCCTCATATATGCTAACAAGTCACTGAGTGACTCTCTGACTTCAAGATTTAAAATAATTTTTGACCTCCATTTATCTGTCTATGAGTAGGGTGTGCACCCATGTCACTGTGCTTGCGTGGAGGCAGGTGGCAACTTTGGAGAGCCTCTCATCTCCTTCCATGACATGGGTCCCTGGGATTGAATCTAGGGTGTCAGGCTGCCTGGCAGGCACCTTGTCAGCCCTGACAATTTTCTTACATTAAAAACAATAGTGTATTTGTTCCATGGGAATAAGAGATATATTTTAGGTTAAAATGTTTCATGTGACATTATTTCTTAAAAGTGTATATAACTTAAAATTTCCTCTCCTAATCCTTTCAAGGTGCCATTGAGCAAGCACACTGACATCTTTCTGTGGTTCCCTCTGGTCCCCTCCCTATGGAACTTTTCGTCTTGTTATACTGAAATTCTTAAACAATAACTTCTGTTGTGCTTTGGCTACAAAACTCCCGAGCTTGGGTGTTTGAACACC